TGTACCATTTTCAGGCGATTTGTAATCTGTTCTAGAAAAACGATGTGATTTTTGATGTTTGTGGAGTTAGGTGGTCCGCGAGTGTTTATTTATTGGTTAAGTGGTCCTTGGTATGAAAAAGTTTGAGAAACACTGGTCTACACTGTAGCTATGTACACATGACAATAAAAGCCTTGAACCTTACAACATAATGTCTGGCATGAAACTTGAAAAAAATCTGATATTCAATTCCATACGCAACCCTGGCTATCTAAATATTTTTGATCAGAATAAACCCAGCACGTGCTAACCTGCGAGGAGGGGAGGCCAGTACGGGGGTTTTATGGGACGATGCTTTAGGAGAGCTGGATTTCTTCCTGGCTGGGGGGGAGATGCACCTCGAGGGGGATGACACGCTGCCAGATCGCTCCTCTGACATCACTGACCGCTTGGCCTTGTGGGAACTGTCCGATCGGTCCCTAAAGGCAACACATGAATGTTCAAACAGGGATTTCTTGTATGAATGACCGCACTACTAAAGAGAGTCATCTGAATGACACCACACCTGCGTTTCTCCTTCTTCTCCTTGTGTTTTTCTGCATCTTGCCCCCGATCTTTTGCCTCCTTCTGCTTCTCCTCTGACTTCTCCTTGTTCTTGTGCTTGCCTTTGTGTTTCTTCCCAACCACGGGAAGGTCCAGAGGCACTGGGGGAGGAGGACTGGGGGTACGGGGCCCTTTCTTCTTACTGTGGCTCCCTTTCGAAGGCCTGGATGGAAGAGGATAGAAAACATCTATCATTACTTCCTCAAATATAATAATGATATCATTTTTAATACGTACTTGCATTTTAAATGGCCAAAACATTCCACATATGTTGACATCGTGGCTCTAGACCGCTACCTGGTAGTTTCTGAAACGGGCAGGGACACCAGCCCCTTCTTCTCTTTCTTCCCAGAGCCTGAGCCTTTGGTTCCACTTTTGTGTTTTGGGGATCCACTTGCCTTCCTGGGTGAAGGTGAATCCTTATTGCTTAACGGCTCAAGAGAAGCCTGAGGAGAAGGAAAACAGTTCAGGTGAAATTAAAATCAGAGATGCTCCCAAAGGACTTTCAGAGAGGCCTGTGAGCTTTCATGAAGGAAAATCAGTGATGTAACATACCTTCGGCATGGCGGTGGCTCTTGTTTTGGCGGGGGTCTCCTCCTTCTTGATGACAATCTCATCCCTCTTGTCCAAGTTCTCCAACTTCATCAGCTCACGTTGGATCTTCTGACGCTTCATCTCTAGGGATAACTCGTAGTCGTAGTCACCGATATCTGAGTCTTAAAGTGGATCAAAAAAAAGTTGAAATGATAGAATCTGACATGCTAAAGTCCATACTTAGTTCAAATCAGAAGAAAAGAAAAAGGGACAAATCATCAGGTCACTTGAATAAAGCAAGCTAACCTTCACGATTGGCTTCCCACTCTGTGGGCTCTTCTTCACTTGCTGGGGTGCGCTCTTTTGTGATTTTGATATCCTCCTTTTCCCTGTGTCTGCCTCTGGAGGAGTCTCTCGGCTGTACATGGATACAAACACAGATGTGAGGATGACACACACACATCACTTCCTGTTTTTGTGTTCTACATAGGCTATATAGGGGTTGCAATTAGGGCTGAACGATATATCGTGTCATGGCGATAACTGCGATATGGGCGATATTCACATCGCAGGGACGTGCGATTTTATAAAAAAAAATTTTTCATTTAATTTTTCTTTAGGTCGTAATATATTAAGTAGGTAAATTAACTCAAACACGTCATGTTGTAATTATTTTGCTGCTTGCTACAAAAGGAAAACTTGCGCGGCTCTCATGTCAGGGGTACTTGAGTGAGTGACATGCAGGCTCTGCATGCACAGCAAACCCCCAATCACAATCATTCTTGATCAGATCACAGCAGGCCCCGCCCCGCTAGTTTGCAGACCATCAAAACACCGGTAAAAAATGAGCGAGGAACAGCAGGACAATACCGGCGAGAATGAAGATTTACTTCCAATAAGAAAAGCAACATCTGCCATCTGGAACTATTTTGGATACAAAAAGGTTCTTCTCTTCTTCATTCACAGATGAACCCCCTTATTTGAGGGGAAGCAACATGCATTATCATGACATGTTAGATCATGACTTAAGGTATGATGAGTCAACCAGTTAAGATCCAGACGTCCGCGACTAAAATCCTTCATCCGATTAAATATAGTTAAAAAAACCGCAATATATATCGCAGGGGGAAAAAATATCGCAATGTCAGTTTTTTTCAATATCGTGCAGCCCTAGTTGCAATTCAGGTTTAAAAAATAAATCACATTCCAATTCAGACGATAGAACAGCTTCAGATTTGAGGTCAGTGGGCCAGAGACTGTTTTTGTTTTAAAATAAAGCATTGATGTATTATCACCATTACACGTTTTCTTTCAAAACTAGACTGAGGGAACTCACTCTCGCTGGGGGGGACGTGGGCTCGTCTAGGTCTCGCTTTAAGTTTTCTGGGTCAACATCCTGTCTTTTATTCTTCATCCTCTCCCGCAGATCACCTGTGGGTCTCTCGGCTGACCTGCTCCATAAAGACATAAATACACACCGTGTCAATATCATGACCCTTGTGATCTTAATTTGGAGAAGCCACAAAAAAAAAACGTAATGAAAACGAACAGGAAAACCATAAACCTTAACTATTACATAAAATCCTGATTGCCAAAATGAATAAAACAAGCCGTCTTACCGACTAAAGCTAAATCCTTTGCCTCGTGGCTGAGTTCCATGTGTGTAGCGACAAGTGTTGCCGTAATTGCAATTACCGGACTTCAGCCAATTTCTACAGTGACTCTGAAAGAAAACATATAGATGAGCCCCATGAGATACTGCAAGTTCTGGATAGAAAACACAACATGTTTTATTATCTGTTGGGAAAACACTGAATGTACTCTTCCAATGTCAGAGTCCACATGATAACAAAGGTATCCCAACTGTAGCTGTGAACATGACAGGATGTGTGATTACCTAGAAGAGCATCAGGACTGTTTGAGGCATATGATAGCTATGTGATTAACATGAGGATTCAGCCTCTATGGAGAGAGACATATGACAAGCATGCTCATTTCTGACGTGGAGCTAATCTGAAGTAAACATTGAATACTGCTTTCTATTCCTCCATCTTGTGACTGTGTAACTCCCTCTCTTGGATATCAGCATGTGAAGGACACTGCTCAGGAACTAGTTGATGCTCTGTATGTGATGACTACTTCCTTTCTACAGAGGATCACAAATACATGGATCCTGAGATTGAAGCTCAAGCCGGGGACGAGTGATATTTTTTCAACATTATCCTACTAAAGAAGGTGCTCCCACTTAAGGAGTCCCTAAGCAAAAGAGATGATGACTGACTCTCACGATGGGGTGAACTTACATCAGCAGCATTACTCCCAGTGCTGGGGCCAAGTCTCTCAAACACACTGGGCCGGCGGGAGGGGGCGGCGGGGTTGCTACTGCTGCTGGTGGTGGTGGCGGCGGCGGGGATGCTGCTGCTATCAGATATGGTTTTTGAATTCTCCACTGTTACCTTCCGCCTGATCTTGGACATTCTGCAGGACTGGAAAAAGGACAATGTTAATAAGTAGTTATCTGCATCTATACGTACCAAATAAGTAACTTGTAACAACGCTGATGCAACACATATATTTGTTTCTTGACAAAATGCAAGAAAACGTGATCACAGTGTGTTTTAGAGCCATTTTAAGACAAAATCCTGACTTTAATATGTACTTACATGTTAATAGATTAATTGTAATTGTTGTGTGACTACATTTCAGTGCCTGCTTTCATTCATTCTGAGAGCAGTGTTAACATTACTGATTTTAAGCAACCAGAGCCTGATACATCCAGAAACGATATTAGATTATGTATTCATAATTTGACCAAAATATTTTGTATTTATGTTTAAATTATGTTATTTGTATTTTTTGGTGAGGGGGAAACAAATAGATAAATAAAGCTTCTGTAATAAAGCAACCTTCTTGAAAGACTGTTATCTATAAATATGTAGCCACTCCTTGCCTGGGTTTGTGCAGCGGCTCCTTCTTTGACAGTCTTGCAGGTTTAGCTTAATGTTGCTAAAGTTCCTGGCTAACTACATGTTATTATTTAGGTGTTTAATATTCATACAAGTGTTGTATGTAAGATTATTACGTGTTGCAGGGTAATTACAATCTGTTTTGTTTTGCATGGCTCATTCAGGAACAAACAAGGCAACAAAAACAAATGCTAAAGTTAGTTAGCCAAATAGCTAATGACTTCATGCTTTATGTTAGCGCAGGGCCTCCTCTTTCAGGAGCGTGAATGCTAGATTCTGTGCAGATAACGGAAAACATGTCTTACCCAAGATAATAATTCGGCGTCGCATCTACTTTATTATAGGTAGTGGATTCAGCACTTGTAGAAATAACAAGGCTTATTCTTTAAAGGCAGAAACTGCCCTGAATGGCTTCATATTGGCGAAGGGTGTGCATCATATGCGCCTTTCTTCTTCGGTGGTGTGTTTGAGCGCTGTGTTAATGTCTCATTTGGGCTTTTATTTTGTAGGGGCTTCTCGTACCGCACTTGGCTTGTTGTCATCATTATACATGTTTCTTACTAAAGTATATATTTGTAAACCCTTGTTCATCAGCGCTCATTTTTCAGGAGATTCAGTAAGGTAATTATTTAAAAGCTTGTTGGCAGGCTCTGTCTTATTTTGAAAGCTTTCAGCGGAAGTATTATCAGTCTTTTGTTGCTGCCGGAGCCGTATAAGATAATAGCTAGCCCTATATCTCTTTATACGGCTCTGGAGAATGTTAATTAAAATGGTGCTGCTAAAGATTTCCAGCAACGGACTACAAAAATATTTCAGTTCCTTTACATAAGCCTCATTGAAATGAGTAGCAACAGCGACCCCTGCTGTCATAAACACAAACTGCACGTCCTGTGGGTCACATGGAACTTTCCCAGCACTATTAAGTTCCTACCCGGACCTGCTTCACTGTTGTACGTCAAACAGGCATGGCGTCCTTCAGATAAAGACACAACCGACATACGTTTATCCATTTGCCCTTCCGTACACATTTGCGTTTTTATTTATTTATGTAGGTGTAGAAATAAATATCTTCTTCACAATGGTGACCAGGACCGTGTGTCAAGTTCTCCAGCGCCGTGAGTAACGTTAGCATTAGCATGTGAGCTATCTAGGTAGAAATGTAATTTGGAGGCTGGATAAATAGACATTTTGACATGACATTTAATGCAAAGTGTAATTCATAACGATAAGCACGCCTCTATTCTACTAAATGTCCCCAGTACGTAGAGTAACGTACAAGGACCTCTCCTTAAGTGAGAGCCAGTGTTATTATTTAATTTTACGAGAGCCTACACTTCCCATAATGCAACTCCATAGATTGTTTGGTTCGTACCCCTCACTTTGAAACACAGATTTATTTTAGAACAATTTAGTTTTAAGCCCAGATATTGATATGACACGAACATAAAGTAGTGTTTTCGTTATATATATTTACTTTATTTGCATTGGCATTTTTTATACAAGGTTATACAAAGTGTTTAATCTGTGCATCTTACAAATTATTGATCTAATATATCATATTCCATTTACTTGTATATAGACTCTTAATGCACGATTGCTATTCTATTTTATTTGTATTTACTTGCACTATTGTATCTTTTGTATTTGTTCTATTATATATGTTGCACTGTTGGAGGAGCCTGTGACCTAAGTCTTTCATTGACATATCTACACTGCTAATGTGCAAATGACAATAAAAGCCTTGAAGTGCTTTTGAATAAGTCTGCATCCCTTTTTCTGCTAGGTTCCATAATTTCCTCCTCTTTCTCTTCACAGGCTTTTCATCTGCCGCTGCAGCCCTGCGTGCTTCGCCTGCAGACGTCCGCAGCCAACGCAATGCCGTGTTCTCCAGAGAGCAGGCCCGGCAGAGAGCTCTGTACCCCCGCATCGAGAAGATCGAGGTGTCCATGCAGTGCCCGGGGCTGGAAGGTACTCTGCTGGTCATGAACAGAGGGATGTCCACTCCTCTGAGCTGCGCCCGGCGTGAGTTTTCTTTAAAGAACTTACATGGAGATGTACATAAAAATCACACCCACCTCAGTTTACAGTCCACTCAAATCTACACGTTATTGCTCACATACATACATTACCCCTTTCCTTCTAAGTCTTGTCAAATAAAAAATAAATTCAGACATTCATTTAAATTCTCTGACCTTTCCCTGGGTAGTCGGTATGGATGGGAATTTGAAAGCAAATGTATATTCGAATATTCGACCCCCCAAAACACGTTTAACCGGTTAACCGAAATGTTCATATCCTATAAAAAAAAAAGATTACAATTTTTTTTTTTCAAACATTTTTTTTCATCAACCTTTGGAAATAAATAAATACATGTTCAAATAAGTATAGAAACCAAGTCGAATTTGTCAAATGTATTGAACTGGTGATCACAGTTTGACAGCTATAGGCCTACAGCTTTCATGTGCAGAGGCGATTCACAATCAGCCCAGCTGTAGAGAAGACCCTCTCAGCTGGAACAGAGGTTGCGGGTATAGCAACGTATAGGTTTAATTTTGCATAGTTTGACCTCTACACCGCACTCACTAACCTGGTCGAAATATTTCCACACATTACTCCTTTTTGACGCCATGTCTGTTGTGGGACTCTTCTTAGAGTGTAAATAATTACCGGACTATGACTGGTAAAATATGTTGAATACCGGCAAAACTAAATCTCTCCAGTCAAAACGTCTGTACTTTGCCGCCACACACGGTTGCCAAGCAGCGCTTATTGTTGATTAGGCTGGCCACTCATGTGTCGCGAGTGTTGACAGGGGGCGGAGGAGCACGCTCATGAACTGTTAGCGCCGGAACCTCGCAACGGCTGCGGAGCGCATTTGGGCCTAAGATGAGGTTTGAGTCTGCGTGGTCTGCGTGTAGGGAGGGACAACAGCCATATCATTGGCTAGCACTAGCTAGATCTGATGGATTTGGACATAAACGCGAGTGAAGTATAACCGGACGCGAGAGAGAGAGATCAGCACCTGCAGCTCTGCCCCGCTGTGAGGGACCGGTGAGCGGAGCAAAACACACCTTTAGACGTCACACATTTAGCTATGGCACTGTCGTATACATTGAATTATTCAATTTGATAATATGTAATCAACTTAGGCAACCCTCCCAAAAAAATAAAAATAATAATAAAACAATTAATAACTCATATTCGAATACCTGAATAATTATTAGAATACCTGAATAATTATTAGAATACCTGAATAATTATTAGAATACCTGAATAATTTCTAATATTCGATTAATCGTTCCCATCCCTAGTAGTCGGTACAGACAGGTATGCTTACATATCTGAAAAAAGGTGCTAGTTAAAATGAAATAGAAAATAAAATAATCCGTTTTAAGGGAATGTGGATGCACGATATGTGTCGCTATAAATAAACGCTTGTTTTGCACTCTGTGTTTCCCTCAGACTTGACAGAACATTATGTGGACAACTCGGCTCTGGCCCTGGTGGACGGGGAGCCGTGGTCCGTCCACCAGCCCCTCACTCACGCCTGCTCTCTCACCCTGCTCACATTCAAAGACAACGATCCAACAATCGCCAACCAGGTACTATTACCACGAGAATATACTTAATGTGATAGGATTTCAACATAGAGTCTCCAGCTTTTTCATAGTGACCTGAAAACTGTGAAAGAATTATGAAAGTCAGGGAGTTTCATACATTTTCAAGGGGAATAAAGGCATTTCTTAAGTAGGAATTGGCTTTATTTGTTTCAGTACATGATAGTGTTTTATACTTTTTTCATTTCTTATCTTAAATGATATGTTTACTCTCGTCTTTTCAAGTCTATATTCATACTCACTTGTCCACAGGTGATGCTAAAGTAGGTAAATATTTACCGTTATCTCTCTATTGAAATGTAAATGAATCCAACTGAAGGTGTTAAGCCGCTATCTGCACTGTAAATCCACGTCCATCACAACACATATACTGTACACACTAACAATTTGGATGTCTCAAAGCTTCCTAAATTGGTTTCTTTCAGCTATTAATGGCATAAGAATGTTCTATAAGGGATATAGAAGTGTTTGAGATGTTTGTGGTTTCCTTTCATTTCAGGCCTACTGGCGCTCCTGCTCCGCCCTGCTGGGTCAGGTTCTGGAGACTGCCTTCAAAGAGGACTTCACTGTGGAGCTGCTCAGCTCCATGGATGTTGAGAGTAAAGAGATCCTCTTTGTTTCTCCTTATTTACCCTAACCAAACATCAGAGACCTGTAGTATTAAACAAATCTCTGCCAGGAACTTTCGAGACAGAATTGAAGGTTAGATGCAGCGTCTGTCTTTGCCCGTTCTGCTAGACTTGTTATGTCTAAGTACGATTCTTTTGGCTCCTTAAACATAATTCCTGGCAGGCCATTTTCTCATAACGTTATTGAAAGATACACGTTGACTCTGGTGAGTGGTGTTCATGTGTTTCTGTTTCCATTGCAGTAGCCACTGCCGGGGCTTTCTGCTGTGACGTGGTGCTCGACCCTCAGCTCGACTCATGGACTCCCTCTGAGGTGCGTATGTGGTCTAAAGTGCAAATAAGCCTCTGCAGTCATTTCCCGTCTGTCTTCTTCCTAAGCTAACGTTGTCCTTTTGTTGACAAACAAATTACAAATAACAATTACATTTCATAGCAGGATATCTGTAAAATAAAATAAAACAGTCATGCCATCGTTTCTGTTTACCATTGACATCAGGTCTTCAGCGCATGTTCAGTTCCTTTAAGAAGTGATCTTCCATCTTTTGGATATCAAATACTCGTCTATTGAAACAATATCAAAGATGCTTCATTAGGCATCATTTGACCTTAATGCGTGTTTCGCTGACACCCTCCTTTTAAACTAATGCTGCCAGCAAAATGAGTCTCTATACTTGGGTGTTTACGCTACCACACATGCATATTCATATTTATTTAAATGTGTTTTGTGCGAGGAAGAGAGTCCAGAGTGTGAATTAAAAGTGAAGACTTAGCTGGTCACCAGCAGTTGTAGAGATGGAATAGTTCAGATGTTTTTCTTGGTGTTGTTATTTTACCTTGGGATACCAGATTTGAGTGTTATAAACCAACATGGCGGTATCTTATCTCTCCAGGAGTCGCTGCGGTCTCTCACCCGAGGGGCCCAGCAGCTGATCCACCAGGACCTGGCCTGGGAGCCTCTGGTCGTGGTGCCCTCTGTGGCTCTGGAGGTCTTCTCACACAGCAGGTGCGCTTCATAAGCAACAGAACAGTCTAACACTGATACGGTTTACAGCTTTTTCAACATTTTCCAGCTGTTTCTGTGCCTTTTCTAGCTTTATACACCTCTGTGTCCTTCTTTTGCTGTCCTTGTTGCCCTCTCTGCATCGCCCCCCCCCCACATAATAATCCAGGACACAAGCTGATCATGTTTTCTTTTTGTCATCCAGGTGTAGACAGGAAGAGGTGGAGCAGAAGGCGTCACAAAGTCCCACTGGCACCGTGATGCTCCACAGGTGACTTTTGTTTCATTTCCACTCTTTTTCTTAGTTTCCTATTTGACTTCGTAACTTCTTTGTGTGAAGGAGAGCTGATGAATCGTGTTCCTTCCTCTCTGTGTGCAGATGTGGTGACCATGTGCTGCTGAGTGCGGGCCCCCTGGTGGGCAGGACGGGCCTCTGCTCCCAGTACGATGTGACGGCCCTCCACAGCCTGGGGGAGGGTCCCTGGGGCCTCCAGCGCCGAGCACAGGGCCTCTCCCTGCCGCTGCAGATGGAGGTAGGATGTGTTTCTGATATGCTGATGGAAAGCACACTAATACGCTAAAAGGAGACACTGTCAGGCTTTAATCTACTGTGTAAAAACCTTAACGTTTGACCTTTTGTTGTATTTTAAAAGATTGACCTTCCCAGTAGACCAGAAGTGTTGTTGACCACCATTTTATCCTAAATAAATGGAGTGAGAACATTTAGTTATTTAAACAGTTTTTTTCCAAGTCCAGAAACAGCAGGCTTAAACAGGAAGAATAGACATGCAGACAGAAAAGCTGCACAGCATTAGGATGTTGAGTCTGAATGCCAATGAAAGCTTCAAAGTATTCGGTACAGCCCTTTTTAAAAGGTGTAAACCAGTTGAAATGGTCATCTATTGGCACCTGCTTGAGGCAATCCAGGTTTTAATCACAGATGTATCAAGCAGTGATTCTTTCTCAGTCTGCAGTGGTTTCCCTCAAGATTATAATTACAAACGCTGTTGCCATGCAGCAGAATATTCATGACATTTGATTGTTATTCCAATATTAAAGTGGGTGATGTTATGGAATGGTTTGGAGCAGGAGTTAAAACAAAGCACAAGCATCATTCAGTTTAAAAGGATGTACAGAAACACTTTTTTGGAAAACTATGAGAAGGAAGAAAGGTGATTGAAGATGAGAAATGATTGTATATGTATAAATGTATGTAGGAATAACTTGCATAATGATTTAAAGGACAATCATTGATCAAGTAAGGGGTGGGAATTAATAAGCATTTGCTTCCTCCTACTCCCTTTCGGACACATATGATTTATTATTATTATTAATATGAAGACTTTCTTTTTTGTTTTTTTATTGAATCTATAAATATTACCATGAATGTGGATAAATACTGTATTATAACAATACGGTATTCTGTTTTTCACATTTAATATTTTTTAATCTGTTCGAAATAAAGACTGAAAATGAAAGCGTGTCCTTTTGTACGGTGCATTAAAAGCACTTTATCAGTGTGTACATGTGCCTGTCAGTCACGTTGTCTTCCTCTCTGCAGGCTCATCACACGGTGTGGAGGAAACTGAAGCAGCGGGCAGGGAGACTGGTAGGAACAACAAACACCTCTTTTATTTATTCTAATACCTCAGACAGGCAGTGACTTCAAAGGGGGAGGGTCTTAGTCTATTTAATGAATACTTGGCCAAATTGCTGCTGTTTTACGGAGGGAGTAGAGGTTGGGATATAACACGGCTATCTTTTATTACTTAGCACTTTATATTTTTGGCAAAAACAGAGGAAATAGATGAGTGTGTGCTCCAGGTCCCATCCTCCTCATGAAGGACAAACTGCAGTGTCTTTTTAAAACACGACATCAAAGACACAGAAGATAACACAAGATCCAAGGAAGAAGTATTTTTAAATCTCTCCAGGTTCAAGGCTCGTATTCTAGACATCGTGACGCTCAGGTTGATGTCTGAGAACAAGCGGCTCTTAAAGAGAAAGCATCAATTCTTCAAATTCAAACTAGGCTGCGAGATCATTTTGGATGGAGCCATCTAGGCGAAATATATTTTGCTCTGGCATTCTCTGTGCATCAGCGTAATGCTAAAAAAGATGTACTCATTAATAGACACACTAGATCTGGCGAGAGATGACTTACTGCGCTCTGTGACCTACATTTTATTTTCACTGAGATTTGTTCGCTGGTGGATAAAAATAGCACTTTCTTAGACAAAAGTGTGGACGAAGGATATTTGGATCAAGGTCTTTCTGGAGTTTTTACAAGCACAGGATTAGCATGCAGACCTGCTGCAGGACAGCACTTCATGCTCTTAGAGGACACTGGTCCATAGCATCTCCTGACACATTAATGTTAGCTGTGTCTGCGTAAAGGCAGCGTGTTGTCCTGTCCTCTATGTCCCATGTGTTAATCACCAATCAGTGGAGGAGCTATAAACCCTCTGAAGCACATTCACCCTGCAGTTAGTTCCATATTTGTGTGCGAATCACAGCTAATGCACGTGATATCCTTCTCTTCATCAACTCAGAGATCATTCGGTGGATGTTTTCGTTCCTCCCATGAACAACAAGAGGCTAGTTTGTGTTGTCATGCAGATAAAATATATTTTATTCATGTGGACAAACTGTGCGAGATGTGGAGCTACACTAACAAGCAGCTACGAGGACTGGGCTCAAAACACAATCTGAAAAAAGATTGGTAGACATCTGAGTGTAATTCAGTACAACTTGGGTACTCTGGTCGTTTGAGAAAGACTCACGTTAGGGCTGCTCGATTATGGCAAAAATCATAATCTCGATTATTTGGGTCAATAATTGATATCACGATTATCCATTTACTTTGAAAACATACATTTATTGAAAAGAAAAATGTGAACAGTATGTTTTAACAGTTGATTACCCTGAACTTTAAGTATAATTCAACTGAAAAACCAATAAATAAATAATCATTTTATTTCGATTATGTTGTTTTCATAATCGTTGCAAGCCAAAATCGTAATTGCGATGAAAATACGATGAATTGAGCAGCCCTAACTCACGTGTACTTCTTCATTTTTAAAACCAGCAGCCCCTGAGTTTGTTAAAAAGAAGAAGAATTTCAGCATGGACAAAGTGCAACTTCTTGGAGTAATTTATTATAAGATAAACTTGGACAAGCTGTCTTCTTATCAGGTATTTAAACACCACAGTGTGTTCTTTAATGTTGTGGTATACAGCAGACTGCAGTGAAGGTACAATATGTACAGCATATTTACACTTCACACAACAAGTCCTTTCCAAATGCTGCCTCACAGACTGTGAACTATGGCAAGCATAGAAGGTCAAAGGTTAACATGACAGGTTGAGAACAATTTAGAAAAAAAAGTGTAAAAGATCAGAACTTTTTTAAAGCGATATCGCTCAATATCTAAATAGTCTACTGCAGTGTTGTAATGTTGTAAAGTGTTGCTGTTATTTTGTCCACCTTCTGTGTGTGCTGCCATACAGAAACAGGGTTATAAAAGCAGAGATGTGTGGGTGTCGTGTTTTCTGAGCCGGCTGCAGGCGGTGGGGAAGCATGTCCCCCGTCTGCCTCCAGCTGGCGCTCGAAACAAGGACGCCCACGCTCCAAACCCCGCCTCCAACATAACAACAACCCCATAACAAATCTGTAGAAGGATCATTTAGACATGATATTTAAGGCCATTTCTAGTTTTAGTTACCTAATAGGTTAGAGAGGAGACGTAAGGATATATAATAATCATAAATGTGTGGATTTATTTGTGCAGGTTGAGATGCCGAAACCTGAAGAAGTGACTCCACCCGCCTCCGAGCAGCCAGCAACAACCTCTGCATAACCTCACACACACTTTCACATGTATCCCATTGTATTATTTGTTCAATAAATGTGTAAAATAATATAACAAATCACTCCTGCTTTTCTCATTCTTACTTAAATTGCTCAAAAATGTAAGTAAATAATTTCCCATGACCCCTTTCAAAGTCAAAGTCAGCTTTATTGTCAAAATGACTACATGTGTGATACATCCAGAAATCTCGAGATACCGTTTCCCGCAGTCCCACAGTGTTACATATAAAAAACAAAACAAAAAGGGCCGAGATAAACGGGTACAATTTAAAATGTTCAAAGTGCAGTTTCTGGTACAAAACAAAGTGTTATGTGTTGACAAAGATTGTAGCACTTGGAGGGGGGGGGGGGGGGAAGGGGGGGGGAAAGGTGCTTCAGTTGTTCAGCTGATGAGAAGGAGTGAAAATTGAAACGTGTGGGTGTCGGTTACTGTATGTGTGTGTCAGCAGTTTGCTCAACAACAACAGCGGAGTGTGTGTGTGTGTGTGTTAGCCGAAGGCAGCTGTTGCGTCTATCACTTATCAAGCAGGTGGCTCTCAATCCTCAGAGTGTGTTTGAGTCAAGTGTGAGAAAGTGTGAGCGAGCCTGAGGATCGGAGTCTGGAGGCGCTTTGTTTTTTCCCCAGGATTCCAGGCATTTTGTCACATTAAACACAACACTGGAGATGTTTGCCACAGCTAGCCTTTCTCTCAGACTATCACAATCTACAATGGTTTACCACTTTCCAATGAGACACCTTTTTAAAAGAGCATGACAATAGTTGCAGTCTTTTTGAAGGATAAAAACAAATCCGTAGCATCAAAGAATATAAATAAATATTGTTGGGATCATCATTGATGATTTATGGTACGAATAATTTACAGACTGTCCTGGTGCCTTCGGACGATCCATATTCACATTAAAGGCCTCTCAAATTATTAATTATAGAAATGATATTTTGGGAAAAACATTTACTATCATTTGAACCCGTTTTACCGAGCGTTAGTAAGAGGTACCCATAGTTTTTATTATCATGCTGCTAGCTTACTTTAGTGGGTTAGCTCTCCTCTCGTGTTACAGTACAGGTGGTTACAGACAGCTGGTAATAACCACCAATGACACGAAGAAACATTGAGCAGCCCCTCCCCCGGTCATACATTACAGATCTCTGTCGGACATTTGAGCCCCCGCCACTGTGTGTGTTTGACAAGTAAGATAAGTAAAGACAGGTACCTCCCCCCCTCTAACCTCAGATTAACCAGCGAGGGTTTTGTAACAGGCATTTTTCTTGCATTTAATCACAGCCCAGCGGCATCAATCCCCATCAGGAGACTTCTGAGGGTCGAGCAAAGCCACTAAACTGGGTGCAGCTGTCTGGGCTACGACCCCCACCCCAACACACACTGACAGAGTGCAAGACACACCCAAGGACATATGCCTCGGACCCTGAGAGCACAGTCACACCAATTGAGATGTTTGAATCTGTGCCCTGAATTCCTCGCCTCTAGAGATGACTGCTGCGCCCGCTGCTCAAACATTATTAAAATTGAATAGCTACTAAAACATGCCGCAATAATGCATTCCTATAAATCAATTCATAATGCGTTTCTCTTATCCGGCTTTTGCGCGAGAGCTTGCGCAGTAGGAGGTCAACAGTGAAGTCAGCCAAGAGGTTTCATATAGTATAAGCAATCATTGGAAGCATTGAAAGAGTTTGAAGCTAAACCAGCTCCTTACTAAAATATTGTGTAAGAAACTATGTCACAAACATCCAGAGAAACGAAAGAGGTCTAATATCTTTAAAAATGTAGTAACTGTAGTGCTTCTCGACAGTTAATGTCTTTATTACAATTATGATAATCTATCAAGTGAAGCCAAACAGTAAATGTACCTTCTGTCTCTGCAAAGTGAGTGTACATTTTCAGTTTCCTAGAGAAAAGGCACTGATTCATTTCCTGTTTTCCAGCCTTGGGAGTGCTTGTCCTTTATCCTCTAAGCCTTTCATTGTTTTGGGACTGCACCTGGAATTTGCTTTCAGCACAGCACCTTGATCCAAGGCTGGAATGATCTTTGTCATATATTTCCTCCGGAAACATCTCACATTTAATAATATTGGAATTTGATAATCAACATCAACTTAACATTTAGAGGGGTCTTTACAAGTGAAAACTTTCATGCACTTCAATGCAAAACATACTAATGCAGCCCCATTTCATGCAATATTATAGTTGTACGTGGGGGGGCTCTGTGTGGAGGTCATTTAATTTCAAACCTTTATTTATCCAGATTGGTCCCATTGAGATCATATATCTCTTTTTCAAGGGAGACCTGCAGCAATTAGGTTCCACATGAAACATAAAACAACATGAAACAATAGAGGATATCATACAACATATTTACAAGCTACATTTACATACTTATCAACATTTACAAATACCCATAGTTTCAACGAGCATTTCACTTAGACTTGCTTTAAAAACATTCAGAGGAATAAAATTGCTCAGATTCAATTCTTGCTGAAGACTGTTCCAAGCAAGTGGAGCTGCGCACATAAAAGCTGTCTTACCTAAGACAGTCCTTGCTCTTGGCACATCTAACAATACTACATTATGCGATCTCAGACAATAGCTGCTTGCAACTCTCTGTGTTATCAGAGAGCAGATATAATACGGGAGTTTACCCAACAAAGCTTTATAAATAAACGTGTACCAATGACTGAGCCTCTTTACAGTAAGTGATGGCAGACCTGCCTTGGCATACAGGGTACATTACATTACATTACATTGCATTTAGCTGACGCTTTTATCCAAAGCGACTTACAATAAGTGCGTTCGACCAACAAAATACAAACTTGAAGAGAACAGAATCATATAAGTACATCAGGTTTCATAGAGCAAAAACATTTCAAGTGCTACTCAACTGGCTTTAGATAAGCCAGTCCTTTATTAGTATATAAGTGCTTTGTTAATAGTTCTATCGCTCGAAGTGGAGTCGAAAGTGCTTTACAGTTAGTGACCAATCTCAGTGCGCTGTGATAGGCGGCATCTAACTTGTTCAGGCAATGGGCAGGTGCATTCATATAGACCAGATCACCATAGTCCAGCACAGGTCAAAAGGTCACAGAGCCTTTTCCTGGCCTCAAGCGAGAAACAGGACTTGTTTCTGAAAAAGAAACCTAGTCTAACCCTCAGCTTTTTAAGCAGGTTATTGACATGAAGTTTAAAAGTGAGGCAATCATCAAGCCAGATACCAAGGTAATTATAACAGGTAACCACTTTGAGTACTTGTCCTTGCGCAGTTACAATATCCAAAACAGGCTCTGGTGTCTTTTTAGCTTTTGAAAAGAGCATTACCTTGGTTTTATCAACATTTAAAATAAGCTTAAGTTCAGAGAGCTGAGTCTGAATAATGTTAAAAACAGTCTACAATTTAACAACAGCCTCCTTAATGGAGGGACATGCACAATACATCACGGTATCATCAGCATAACAATGTAAAGTAGCTTAATTGACATTTTCACCTAAACTGTTGATGTAGATGGAGAATAAAAGTGGACCTGAAACAGAACCTTGAGGAACACCATTAGCAATGTTTAACCACTCAGAAGACAGCCCATCAAAGTGAACACATTGGGACCTTTCAGAGAGTAGTTCACAAACCACCCTACTGCATGGCTGGATATGCCAATACTGAGTAGCCTCTGCTTCAAGATGCGATGATCGACGGTATCGAACGCTTTGGAAAGGTCAATAAATAGAGCTGCACAACTCTGCTTATTATCTAAAATACTCGTAATGTCATTCACCACTTTCATTGTGGCAGTGATGGTGCTGTGTTGCTTTCTGAAGCCTGACTGATGTTTAGACAGGATATCATTTTTACATAAAAACTCCTTTACTTGTTCACTCACTAGGCATTCGAGCACCTTCGCCAGAACTGACAATTTAGAGATTGGCCTATAGTTATTTAATAAAGTGGCCTCCCCTCCTTTTAGTAAAGACATAAGCTGACTTCCATACTTTTGGAATTGCATTTGCTTCATGAACAACATTAACAGTAAAAGGAGAAAAACTGAAAGGGTTTTCCAGACCATATTGTTCAGAGTCACAGACGGTGGTGTTCACAGAAGCAGAGTTAGTCACAGAATCAAACAGAGAACCGCAGGACACAAAATGCTCATTAAAGTAATTTAGCATAGTAGCCCTGTCCGATATAGAGCCAGATGCTGTGGTAAGGCAATCTCATTATTTGACTTCAAGGGATATACACTGTGGCCCTATAAAGCAACTGCTCCATTATCTGTATCAAATGCACACATTGATGCCACCAAATGTCACAATAATAATAGAAAGTACTACAAATAAACTGGAATTCATTTACATCTTAAATTATTAATATATATACTAGGCCTGTCAGTCGATTAAAATATTTAATCACGATTAATCGCATGATTGTCCATAGTTAATCGCGATTAATCGCAAATTAATCGCACATTTTTGATCTGTTCTAAATGTACCTTAGAGGAATATTTTTCAAGTTTTTAAAACTCTTATCAACATATGAGTGGACAAATATGCTTTATGCTAATGTTTATTATCATTTGAACAATGACAAATATCCTCATGAATATTAAACAACAACCTCTGAACATTACAAATATTCGCCTCAATTCAACCTGGGGCCCGTACTCCGAAGCTGGTTCAACCTAACCTGGATATGTTTGAGTTAGCCGGTTGGCCTAATCCAAAACATACGCGCTCTCGCTAAACTGTACTACGACGCTGGTTATCAAGTGGATCGCTCAAACCAGCCGTGTCCTATCTAGTTAGGTGCGCGTTCACATGAAAGTGGACAGCGCAGCGTCATACTTCCTGAATGAAAAGTGAACTTTAATACTAGTCAAAAATGAAGAAGTTAAACTTTAACATCCATGACTTAAACACTTTATCCAGGATAAAAGCCACATAGACCTGCAAGGTGAATACAGCTGGCAAAAGAAAAAGTGTTTGAATGCGTACTTTAACAGGTTTATGATATCACTGCCCCGTCTAAAACACGATCTGACTTTAATTACATTTGTCTC